GTGTGTGTGTGTGTGTGTGTGGCTGTGTGTGTGTCCCCCATCATTTCTGCCTTACGATACTGCATATTGATATATTCATAGTATGCGATGACTCAGTGACAAAAAGTTAACCTCACGTAGCCAGCACCGACGTGAGATTGGTTCTGTGTGAATAATTCATGTGAGTTTCGTAACTTACATATTTCACTTGGGTGAACACTGTATGGACTTGTTTTCTGTTTCCACTGTATTTTTCTAAGCGCTATCTTCTCTCTTCTAAAATTTTCTTAAGCCATGTGCATCTCAAGAGCAACAAGTTTGAACAAGCATTCCATTTGTCTTTAAGATTCTTACAACCACTTTTCTTCAGGATCAAAGACTGCATCCGTGGCTCATGTGATATTGGATTTCGCCGAATGTGCTCCTCAGCGCTAATGAGAGCTGAGCAGTAAAAACAAGGGTTTCTAGACTCTTAAAACGACATCATTTCTTAAATTGAATGCCACTGCGTTTGAGACTGACAAGAATCGCGTATTTGATTCGATCTGGTTTGATTTTTTAAAGTTAAACTAACACCCTGAGCCGACTACACCCAAACCAACGCCCAAACCTGTCAATCCACCAATCCCTTCTTAGGTCGAAGCTCATTTTGGCGCCGTGGGTGGAGTACCCCTGTCACGTATTGTTATTAACGCTAAGAGCGGGCAGTAAATACGACGTAATTGCTCCAGAATGGGTAACCCTAGCTGTGACAGTAATGACCTCTTCACGTCGGACGCCCGCGACGTCCGTCCATCTCTTTAGGGTAAGGGTTACGGCACGCGGGCTCTCATCCGATGCCCTAACGATCGGACAGAATTTTCGTAGTGGCGGCGCCCTTTCTATCTGGTCAGGTTTGTCTGACTCATGTTCACTCGGTTCCAGTTTACCGCATTGCGAATCGAATCTGACAAATTTAGAGTAACCCTAGGTTTGTTTTTCACCGTCATCTTAGAATCCGATTTTTTAAAATAAGGCGGGGCTCTGGTGGCCTAGAGGTTCGGTTAAGATGTTGGCCTCTTATTCAAAGGTCCTAGGTTCGAATCCAGGTAGCGACCGAACAAATTTTCTTCTCTAAAATTGTCTTCTTTCACCTCCTTTCCTGCTCTCTAGCAATGTTCTGTTGTCTGCTTTCGTTTCCACTTTCTGCCCCCACCCCCTCACCCCCTTTCCCCCCTCCTCTGGGCTCCTGGCTCTTTCTGCAGCCTTTCTACTGCTACTCCTTGGCTCCTCCTAACTGCTGTCTTTCTGTCACACCCCTGATCTTCTGGTAGGAAAGATCTACGCCTAGCCTTCTCGGACAAGGGCGAAAAATCTCGGATGGCCCGTGTGCAAGTTGCGCACGTTAAAGATCCGTTGGTGGTCTAAAATCGATAAGAGTTGACTTCGGCCGCCACCCGGGCAAAATTCAAAATGTCCTACCAACTGAACATATTAGCTGTGTCCCGCAAGCTCAAATGACCTTATGCAGTTGCGAGCGCCGTAAAAACACTTACCAAACAAAACAAAAATAAGGCG